TTGTGTTAGTTCATGTTAGCTCCTTCATTAACTAATACAAACAAATTGAACATTATTGTAAACCTTATTACCCGTAAAATATATTATAAATAAAGTTGTCTATGGATTTTGCATATTTGAACCTAAAATACAGAGGATCCCTAAATGTTGCTAATCTCTAAAGCAGGGGTGCCCAACCCTGCTCTAAAGTATATACCTTCATGGGTTTACTTTTCAAAAATTATTACATACATTAATATTGTAAATATTCATTAATGTGCCTATTCAAACACCAAAAAGTATAATTACAAATATTGACAAGCTCTAATGAGATAACTCCAAACTTTAGGTCCAGTTTATTCGTTGCTAGATATCGCTCTTTATCAGGAAATAGCAGACTTCTGGAGATCGACTGTCCTGTAAAGTTCAGCTCCAACCCTAATCAAACACACCTGAAGCAACTAATTAGGGTCTTCAGGATCACTTAAAAATTAAAGGCAGGTGTCTTTGATTAGAGTTGGAGCTAAACTTTGCAGGACAGTCGATCGCCAGGAGCAGGGTTGGGCACCCCTGCTCTAAAGTATATACCTTCATGGGTTTACTTTTCAAAAATTATTACATACATTAATATTGTAAATATTCATTAATGTGCCTATTCAAACACCAAAAAGTATAATTACAAATATTGACAAGCTCTAATGAGATAACTCCAAACTTTAGGTCCAGTTTATTCGTTGCTAGATATCGCTCTTTATCAGGAAATAGCAGACTTTTTTTTCTGATATTCAAAATCATTCAACACTTGTCATATTAACTCTTCTAGTAGCCAGAATGAAGAGGTGAAGTGAGCTTTAAAATCAATCAGATTTATCGATTAAGCTTAAATTAATCTTTTTAAAACCTTAGCTTGTCTTCATCTGAAAAGAAAATGGAAAATTATTCATTAACAGTAACCTTAAAGAACTTGAAATGAAGACAACTCACTATCTATAACTTGTAAAGATGATGCTTCACATGATTACAATTTAATAGAATAATATAAAATGAAAATTAACAGTAAAAATGAACATAAAATGAAATAATATGAAAGAAGAAACATAAATGAACACAAACATGTTTGTGCTCATATTTCATAAAGCTTTATTTTTTAATTGGTATTACAGTATAAGGAAATTGTTGCTTGCACACTGGAGAGTTGTGACACATGTAGGTAAAGCGTGCAATTGGCTCATTCAGCAGCCCTTCTCCTGAGTAAAAAATCAGTATGTACGTAAGCAAGGACAGAAATAGAGTTTAGTGGGAAGGAGATGGCACCATTGATTTTTTTTAACACATTTCAAACAAGATTGAATTAAGATTCTAAATTAATTTCTATGCCCACTTGTATACTGCATTGTGTTAATGTCATAGTCTTTAGAAAAACTGAACTTTGACAATGCCCCTAAAACAATTATCAATAAGTGATGTGGTTTTGGATGGCCTTTCAGAAATTATGCACTGTGGTTCCACTATATTGAACAGAAAAAGAAAAAAAAGTATTCTCCAAACAAACATTCAGCAAAAACATTAGCATAGAAATTAGGAAATTTGCATGGAAGCATTGATTTTAAAGGACTTCTGCCACTTTACTTACCCGTAAAAAAATATTTTTATTAGCATGAATATATGTGTTACGGGGCTGACGAGACGTGAGACGTGCGGATCCATATGCAAAGCTTTTATTAGGAGAAGACAGACGTGGTCATAAAACAGGCATGGGTCGGATAATGGCAGACAGGTATAAGGCGGGCAAGACACAAGAATAATCCTAGGGCTAGCGTAGGTCGATGAACGGCAAACAGAATCAGAAGGGACAAGACTAAAGGGAGAAATCCAGGAAACCAGGTGAAGATCAGGAAACGAGAAAACAGCTAAGGCAGGGAAACTAATGAGACATGAATATATGAAACAGTGGGTGCAATCAGTGTTAACAGCTGTGTGCAATCCGTGCTGAGTGCAATCAGTGCAATGAATGATGGGATATGTAGTCCGGGGTGATGTGCAACAGTGTGTAGTGCGAGAGTCAATGAAATTGGAAAGGGTGACCTCTGATGGCTAGCAGATGGAAGTTCATGGACCGGATTCATGACAATATGCTATTTCAGCAGTCAGAATTTATTGAGTGATGGATGCATATGGATGCATTTTTTTGTGTGAAAAGGCGAGACTGAGGTGAGTAGTTGAATAATGTAAATGTTTTATATTGTAAAGATTCTGTGATAAATCCTCACAAAAATTGTTTAAGGTGGGGGAAAGAGTATTTGTTCTGAACTCTATGAAATCAAGATACGATAACATTTTATCCATTTATGCATTACTATAACTTGGATAAAATTGGATAAAACTTTATTTTACAGTATGTGTTCTTACCCAAGAAAGTACTGGGTAGTATAAGGTATAACTACATGGATTAAGGTTAGGTTTAGGGGTAGGTTCAGGGTTAGTACCTATATATTAGCCAGTTATTGTAATTGCTATAATAAGTACATAGTCTGTACATGCAGAACAGGACAGTAAAATAAAGTGTTACCATGATTTCAGTGCAATTAATATGGAAATACTTTTTATATTATATGTATATGATATCTTTATACCAGTCCAGTGGACATGGCCATGCCACATCGGGCATTATATTTAATGTTAAAATTTTATTGCTGATTTTTTAGTACTTTAATGTATGCATTTTTCACAAAAGCACATTAAAAATCTGTCTTTGTATTTAGCAGATTTGTACAAATAAATCCACCCTGTGTCGTAAAGACATTAGCAAAGTGTGCTGGAGCTATGGGGTTGTGTGCAGTTTCTAAGCAAATGAGTGTGATAAAGGAAGGCAGTGTAGAGGTATGGCAGCACTGTCCAAAAGATTTCATCTTTAATAAATGCTGTTACCTCCACAGTAGGTACATCCAAACCCCTCGTCTTTATGCTACAACAAACCAGGCCATTCTCATGATAAAGTGCTTGCAGGTGTACGGAGGGGTACCAAGCTGTTGATTACATCAATTTATATTGATGCCCCATTAAATACCATTTCATTTGTTTCTTTCTTGTAATTAATCATCAACTGCTGTTTTTCCACTTGTTGTAGTATTCGCGTACCACCATGGACTTTTAGTAGTTCTTTGTACTTTGATGACTGAAGCAAAAACAGAACCCCAAAGACAATTAAATTATTCTATGGAAAATGTGTGTAATGTGGTAAAAAAGAGATAACGGGCATAAATATTTTGTTGTGAAACTGCAGGGCTAGATTTTAAAAGAACCATTCCTAACGTTTGTTTTTGTTTTTGGTGGGAACCAGTAGAAGTTTTTGAAGACTTTACATCTCAAACAAATGTAGATCAGTTTCAGTTGAATGTTTGATTCGAATTAGTTGTTAAATAATTTTCTTTTGAATACCCGGCATGGATATAAAGTAATTACAGTTCTACTGAATATTATCAAACTAAATTATTTCAGTTAATATATAAATATTAGTATACAATTTATACCATTAGTATACAATTTAAAATTTTTGGCATACATTTTTCAACTTCATTGCACGATGAATGTATGACACTATTCGAAGAATACTGAATTGAGCTGGATGATGACATCACTGAATCAACGATGAACTAACTTTAAAAGAGTCATTGGATGCCCATTTTCCACAAGTTGATATTATTATTTAGGGTCTTAATGAAAAATATGTAACATAGTTTGGTTAAAATTTCTCAATGGTAGTGTAAAAAACACATTTTTTGTGTTCTTTTCAGATCAAGCCGTTTTGTAGCATTTTCCTTTAAATGTTAATGAGCTATGCTGACCCCGCCCCTCTCTTTCCGAGCTGCTCTCAAGGGACTGTTTACTTTAGCCGCATTCATCTTGAAACTTGCTAATTAGCACATTATTAGGATTTTATAATTATTATAATTATCGCCATTATTATAAGGCGATTTGCAAAGATTAATTAAAAAACCTTATACTCACTTCTTCTGTAGGTGATGATGGATCATGTATGATTTGCGCGAACATAGACACATTTAGGTTGATCGGGGGCGCATTCCCTTCAAAAACAAATGCTCACTCAGGGCGAGTCTAAGGTAAGACGCCAGTCCAGTCTGTGCTGAAACGCCACTGTCAATCAAACTATCGTGGGTGGGGCCTGTTTTGTGACGTCACACAGACAGGCATCTGAGATCGGCTCGATTTGAGAAAGGGGTAAAGATTTTAGTAGATTAAAAAAAAAACACTGGGTGGATTTTTATCAATATAGGGTGGTTGTGTACACACTGCCAACACACATTTCAGTTCAAACAAGTTGTAAAACTGCATGTAGCATCCAATGACCCCTTTAACTGTAAAATTGACTGTTTACTATTGTCCTCTTTTTAGAGCTGCTCTACAGCAGAGCTGCTCTACAGCAGCATTTAATTTTGTTTGCAATAATGAGACTCTATTTTCCTGATTAACACTGTAAAGCTGCTTTAACACAATATGTATTGTATAAAGCACTATATAAGTAAAAGTGACTTAACTTGACTTGACAATTTATATAATATTCATACATCCTCTCTCACACAAGCACACACAACCGTGGTTAAAGCAAAAATTTCAGTGTGAGTTCAAAGCAGTGGTGAAGCTACGGGTGGGCATGGGCCCACCAACTTTCAACTGTGGCCCACCCAGTGAGAAGTTGGTAATTTTTCAAATGGATGTAATTAATTAAATGGCAATAATAATAAACGTCTTATGTCACTCTAACTTTATATATTTAGTTAGAAAAAATATTAAACATAAGTTTTCATGGTCAATTATAGGCAGTTTCTTATTTTTCCCTCTTCCTATACTATACTTGTCAAAATGATGATTTGTCGTTCTGTTAGTCCCACCCACAATGCTATGTTTGCGACGTAAGCACATGGTACTAAAATGTGTGTGTTTGTAGAGTTAAATTTGAAAATAGTGAAACAAATATCAAACAGTCAATTCTTTAAAAAGTATTGGATATCCCAGTTGAAACTAAGTCTTAGCAATGAATCCGGACCATCTACAAATGAAACCAGACCACCTGCGGGTGGTGGATTTATATATATCGGAAACGTCTCAGCCAAGCGTGTTTTAAGCATCATATTAGCATAGGTAGAGTGTTTGATCTGCTAAATAGATGCGTCCTTTGTGAGAAGAAACTCATAACGTTGTGCTAGATACTGTTCTCCACAACAAATTGCATATTTGCAGCCGCGCTACGGTCCTCGATGATCGCAAACTGACAGAGACACTTAATCATGAAATCATCTGTGACGCTCCATCGTCTCTGACTGAGGTAATGCTTTACTATAAACTTCCTTCAGTTGGCGTTAATTAACAATGAGCAATACATGTGTTACAATGTTTATTAATCTTTGGTAAAGTTAGTTAATAAAAATACAACTGTTCATTATTGTTATGTTAGCTCAAGTATGATTGTTAACAGATACAACTTCTAATTTTAATAATTAGTAAATGTTGAAATTAACATTAATGCTAATAAGTGCTTTAGAAGTTTTGTGTATTGAACCTTTGTGCTGTATTTTCTGTTGGCCATTTGACATGCAGTTTTCATACGCTACACTTTGCCCACCCTGTTTTATCTAGGCCCACCCCTTAAACATTTCTGGCCTCACCCCTGGCCAGAAAGAAGGCTTTGAACAAGCATAGAGAGGAAAATAAACTTCTTTGAGAAGAAGGTTTTAACTCGTCATAAACAAGCATCATTAATATTGAAGTTTGTCAGACAGACTGTTGAATGATGAAGTTGAAAAATAGACTGTTTTCAAAATGGGAGCATGTGTCATAAATCTAAGAGAGAAATGGATGAGAAGAGTATCAGAGTTGGAAGGTATTTGTTCTGCTATTCTCTGCTATTCGCTCCTCCATGTTTGCATCTATATTAATATAAAGACATGAAACAATATAATGTTATATGAGGATGTATGTGTTTAATATTATTTTAACTTCATATCGTTTTAAAACCACTGACTTTTTACTGTGGAACACGATGGGAGTTGAATGACAAAGCTGCTCTTTCACAGGAAGAACAAAAGAACATAATGACAAGAAGCTGACAGACTTCGAAAAACGTTTCATAAATTTAGTCCATTTGACTGAAGGATGTTGAAATCTTTGAATTTTTTTTGGTCAAATAAATGAATTGAGATAATGGCTGTTGCAAATGAAACTGCATCTTGTTCAAATTTTACCTACAGGAATCGTTTGTATTTGAGCCACGATCAGATCCACTTAGAAATCCACTTAATCTTTGTTTGTTTGTTTTTTTCGTTTCGTTATTTTCTCTCTTTTTTTACCTGTCCAATGTTTGCTTCAAAATCCTTTGTAAATTTTGCACATTACCTCTGTCAGTTCTGCTCTTAAGAGACTTCCATTTAGTGTGTACTGCATTAAAGCTGTCTGTTGTTGAATTCTTGAATACTGACTTAAAAAGGTCTTCTTCTCATAGAGTTCTACAGTACTTCCACTGCCCTTTCCTACTTTCTGTCATGTACTTAAGTTATGATGGCTCCCAAGGGCTGTGTTCTACCTCCAGTCTATACCTAAACACTTGGCCGATGGTCCTGCAAACGTCTCTATGTTGCTAATTGTTCATGTGAAGAGTGAGATTCTAACTGGACTGGAGAGTTTCTGTCTCTGGCAGATTTTTACAGTAAAGAGCCATGTTTTTTTATTATTATTATTACTCTACTACAGTCCTAAAGAGAGCAGGAGGCAGTGGAGCTATGGCAAAAGTGGACATCTCAGAGCACTTGGTGCTCTGAAAGCAGCAACAGTGTTTTTCTTCTGGCTGACAGCCTCTGATTGTCCTCTGATTGTCCTATGCACTTCCCTTTGATGTAGTCTGTGATTTTCTGTGCCTTCAGCTTGAGTTATTTACTTACTGAGCATAGATTTGAAAGCAATACTTGTGCAAGCTTCAATCATCTGAAGCGCATTCAGCCGAAATAGACTCTTACATCACATCTTTAAGAATATACAGAAATATGCATTCCTATTCACATCTCAGAATTTCACCTGCCATTCAAGGGGAATTTATATTAAATTATATGCAATTAACGGTAACACTTTAGGGACTGACTCTCAACATTATTATCTGGTCCTGCAGATTTGCTTTATACAAAATTAGGAAGATCAGGCCCTTTCTTTCAGAACATGCAATACAACTCCTTGTTCAAGCTCTTGTTCTATCCAGGCTAGACTATTGCAATGCTCTCTTGACAGGTCTTCCAGCCACTTCTATCAAACCTCTACAATTAATCCAAAATGCCGCTGCAAGATTCATCTTTAATGAGTCGAAAAGAACGCACGTCACACCTCTATTTATCAATTTGCACTGGCTACCAGTAGCTGCTCACATTAAAAATTTAAGGCATTGATGCTTGCCTACAAAACCACCACTGGCTCTGCACTAGGGGTCGACCGATTATCGGCGCCAGTATTTTTATGATTATCGGTATGGTCATTTTCAAAACCGATTCGCCGATAAAATAAATTAATTTTGAAATGCGCTATTTGGCTCTGATGCAGCCTATCAGAACTCACCACTCTATGGCCTAGAGCAATCTCCGCCCACAGCCTATCTGATTTGTTGGGAGTCACGAGTCTGGCCAATCAATGCGGAATTCACTCTCACTCCGAAAGCGCATGCTAACTGGAGCTGCTTCAGTGATCATGCATCAGTTGTCTCTAGGTAAGGTAAGGCAGCAGCAGACGTTGCTTAAGTTGCAATAAATCACAATCCACTAACGTTACACTGAAGTTGCAAAACTCCTCAAAATTATCTATGATTTCCGCGATGCAGAAAATGTGGAAGGAATCGCGGAATCCAGTCATATAAATTTAATTTTCTGTATGACGCGGAATGTCACTGAATTTGTCAAAGTTTGGATGAATTAATCAAAAGTAGGTCCGTACACTTAAATAGAGACGCAATATGGACTTGTATCTGTAAATATTAAGGTGCGAAAATACTATTTAATTATGAATCCTGCATGTTCTGCGTGTCTCTGTGTATGTAAATGGAACAGACGCGCGGTTTTGTTTTCTACACATACAAAGTGTGCGATGCTCACGGTGATTTCAGCTTTTGTCGTCTCACTACATGAGGACATAAATACATGAACAGCATCTCTAGAACTGCTCTGACTCCCTCTGAGAGTCACTTCATGAACTATCGCAGTATTTCCCACAGACTTAAACTCTATTTGTGGCGTCATATATGCAAATTCATTCTCTGCCAGCAGGATGTGCTGTTGGAGTGGTAGAGATCGAGGTTTCCCCGGTAATGGCTGTACACAAAGCAGTACTCCGCTCACAAACGCTGCTTTATTAGACATTACATGCAAGATGAAATGAAAACGACATCCAAAATTTTCTGAAGACAGTCAGGTTCCTTCAGAAATACAGCGATATTAAAAACATCCGCACCAGGTTTCAATTTTGAAACATGCAGTGCTCATGTTTATTCAACGAAGTAAAAGCCTTTTGGGAAATCTATTTGTGGCGGTCAGTTTTGATATTGTGGTGGGCGCCACAAATAAGTCAGTGTATGGGAAACACTTACATAGGCTACAGAAATTTAAAAGTTCCTCATGGCAACCCGTCAAAATATAAGTTTGGGTTAGCTTAAAGAAATTATCAGAAATATATTACTGTGGTGCAGTATGATATACATAATACTACTACAACAATTATTACAACTTTTATTTAAAAGAATAATCACACAATATGCTATTTCTTCCATGTTTTAATTTGAATGGCTTTGTTTGCCAAAAAATAAAGAGTTTAACTCTCATTTGATTAAAATATAAATTCAATTGATTCATGCCTTAATTTGCACTGTACTGTAAATTAAAACTAACTGAAATTTCTAGTGTCACATAGGCCAAAACATTTCAATAGGCTATTGAACTAAGTGTGCCTGTAAAAGGCTATTAGTGTTATAGTTTCATGAAAATAGTTGCAGTCTTCTTAACAACTTCTACAATATAGCTATGAAGACAATTAAATTATTTACACTTATTATTTAAATTTTTTTAAGTTAATCCATTGATGTGCATTAGATGATGAATTGGATAGTCACCTCTACTATTTTATATTATGTTTCAGCCATTAGAAAATAATTAATGAGGAATTATGAGAGGTTATGCTATTACACATACATTTCTAACATGTAAATTATTGAAGCCAAATACTTATATTTCCCCAAGCTGTGTAGCTGTAGTACAGTATCCATAGGCTTAATCATGAAGCATACAGTGGCCCCACTTTTAACTCTCTCTTTATAGTACCCTTATTGTAGATGTATACACAGAGGAAGACAAGAGTAAGAAGTGCAGTGTGGGACACTCAACCAACACCAGGGAAGGCAGTTTTTGTCAGAGCCCTTGTTATTCTTAATTTTGACATTAATTTTCATTTTTACACCAGACATATATATCGGTTCAAAATATTGGTTTATCGGTCTACTTGATCTGTAATAATCGGTATCGACATCAGCCCTGAAAAACACATATCGGTCGACCCCTACTCTGCACCCCTTTACCTAAATGCATTACTTCAGAGTTATGTGCCCTCTAGAAGCTTGCATTCTGCAAGTGAACGACGCATTATTGTGTCATCTCAAAGAGGCACAAAATCACTTTCACAGTCTTTTTCATTAACTGTTCCCTCCTGGTGGAATGACCTGCCCAACTCAATCCGAGTCCTTAGCCATCTTCAAGAAACGACTAAAAACATATCTGTTCCATCTTTATTTGACCCTCTAACTCTAGCACTTTCTATTCTGTTTTAATTCTACTTTATCTATTTATCTTCTTTTTTTATAAATAAAAAAAACTAACACTAGCTTACTATTTTCTCTATTCTATCTACTTGTACTGCGTTAGGCTAACCAAGACTTGTCATTTGCACTTGCATATTGTTGCTCATTTGTTAGTTTTGATTGCTTCTATTGTCCTCATTTGTAAGTCGCTTTGGATAAAAGCGTCTGCTAAATGTAAATGTAAATATTAAATATCTGCTTATTAGCATGCATATTACTAGCACATTGGCTGTTTATTAGTATTTATAAAGCACATATTAATGCCTTATGAATTACCATATTTTAGATCCCTTAATCCTATCCCATACCTAAACTTACCTACTACCTTGCTATCTATTAATAAGCAGCAAATTATGAGTTTATTGAAGCAAAATTTGTAGTTAATGGTTAGTTAATAGTTCATTAGTAAATAAATACACATTGTTTCACAGAAATAACTGAAAACAAAATGAAATATATAAAATTGAAACTGGAATTACAAAACTTTTGTAGAAAGTATGACAATCAAATACATTGTTTGAATTAACCTGACAATCTTTTGAAAGCGTGTTCTGCCGTGCTGCATTGCTGGGCAATATTAACAACAAGGTGACAAGCATATGAGAGGAGCAAAAGAAACAAATCTATGCCCCAAAAGGAGACACAAATGACATCTCTCACTGCAAGCAGGAGGTATAAATCAGGTTTAGATTAATATTGAAGGCAGACTCCCATTTTTTACATTAAGTTAGATGCTGAAAGTGGGGACCATTATAATAAAAAAACTCAGTGCTTAGTGTGCTAACTTAATAGTGTGCTCTGTCAGTGTCAGGTACGAGGTGAACTTGAGGAAGAGGACAGGGTTGAGGAAGAGACAATGAAAGCCCTTGTAATCCACCTCTAAAGTCCACCCATATATGGAGCACTTAGCCTGAATACATCCACTCAAGAAGTTTCTCTCTGAATAAATGAACCGCAGCATACAGTAGCTAAGGTTTATTTGACTGCATATCATTCCAGAACAAGGTACCGTAGACGCATAGCCAAAGCTTTGTAGGTTTCTGACTGAGGTAATCTTTGTGAATAAGAAAGTGACTGCTTTTTCTGCCTCAGTGATTGAGACTCACACAGTCGCACCACAATGTCACAGCTCGGTAAACCACACACTGACCGAGCATCAAGTAATTAGCCCTATTTTAATACTTCTCTGCCTCTACACAGGCAAGATATTCCCTCTTCCTAAAAATAAATGCAGAGATGTCCCTCAGTTGGAGATCAAGAAACCCAGGTGCCATGGTGTGACGTGTTGCCGAAGGCTCCAGCTGTCAGGAGCCAGTGTACATCCCCAGTCGTCTGTAACAATTACTACTATCATTAATATTAATGAGTGTGATTTCATGGTCACTGGATAATAACAATGTGCAATGTGGTCACAGCCATGAAAGTCACTTTTACACACTTTTGTTCTTTTTAAGAAGGTCCATTTTACTCATCATTTTCTCTAGCTATTTAATGCACCATGACTATGAACACAGTGGTTAAATAATTTACAAAGCATTTAATGCTGAAATTCAGACAAATTTGCATGTGAAAAATTATAGTGATATACAGTAATGTGGCCTCAGCTGGTGTGTTGAAAGCCAAAAATGAATTTAAAAAAAGGTGTGTTCTGATTAAATTAATGCAAAATGCAAAGAATAAAATGCAACTAACCGTTATGCAACATTTCAATAGCAAAATAAAGCTTTTTTAAGGAATATCTGTTTGCTGATTACAACTTTATCTCCAATCAAACTCTCCAAATTGTGGCACAAATGCATCTGTGACTTGGTACAATCTAGCATGTAGCATTACATATCCTCATCCTTGAAAACCATGCTCAAAACTATGACAAGTATTAGACAAATATGACCATTACACACAGATGTTTGCTATGTGTTGGGTTGGGACTTAATGTAAAATAAGCGCACACAAAAAAAGTGTGTTACACAAATTGGTGTTCATTTAATCGAGTCTATGAAAGTTAGATTGATTGATTGATTGATTGATTTTCAAAGCAAATACATTGGCAATGCATAGTTTTTACTAAAACTATGTACAATTACACAGAATAATATAAAAATGGCAGAGTGAATTTGATAGAGGCATAAAGGAAGGACCTGAAGGAGCTCACCTCCATGGACACATTGTGAACACAGTCTCTGTGGCCCACTGGAGGTCCTCTGTAATGTATGGGAAGCCTGACACTCCACTATTGTAGTGACTGTTGCATGTGTTTGGTTTGCAGTCCTTTGAGTGGAAGAGCTCACGTCAGCTCAGCGAAAAGTACAGTTCTGTTGCCGAGGCAACCCCGAGCTAGGTCTGGTGATTGGACTTTAGGGAGCATAGTCAGTTGTCACTGCAGCTTTAGACATGAAGACATTTCCTAGTGATTTCCACACTAATGATCTTTTCACTTCAAGTAACAATAATGAGGTCAGAAATAAACTGAATAAAACTCTTATTTGTGCACAGCAGATGCCATACACTGAAGCTGACACGAATATCGCATGACATTAGTGTTGAAGATAACTAACTCAACCCACCATTGCTGATATATTTCAGCCCAATCTCATTACAAGAAAATGTAATGATTTCACAAGGTGGCAATTTCATATGAATTCATATAATGAAAACATGCATTGTTTTTGTTTTTTTAAGTATTACACTCCCATAAGTTAACCAGATTGTAAAACCTAAGTATGAATAGCTGCTGCCAAAAATAACAACAACAACAATAGATCATCTGGCACAAAAAGTTTTAGGATATCAAATTGGTTGCAGCTTCTAACTTGAAATAACGTTATAAGAAATATAACCAATGAAACAGTAATAAATAATATACTTATAACTGCATCGACAACAATATTTTTCTAAATATTTATTTTGATACAATAAAATTAATAAGTAATGACTGAAACAAATTGGTGATATTTTTTTAACAAACTGATTTGCTGAAAAAAAACAAAAGTGTTTAAAAAAAAAATATTTTTTTTTATTGTATGTGTATTTATTGCCTTAACTCACTTGGTACAGCCGTGAGCTAATACAATGCAGAGAATGCGTGATATTTTTTTAACAAACTGATTTGCTGAAAAAAAACAAATGTGTTTAAAAAAAAAAAAAAATTTTTTTATTGTATGTGTATTTATTGCCTTAACTCACTTGGTACAGCCGTGAGCTAATACAATGAGAGAATGCAACTTCATGTTATAGAATTTTTGTCAAACTACATAACTACAAGCTACATATTTGGGAAAGAAAAATGGCCATTACTGTAAAAGCTGTAATATGTAGAATGTTAGATTAGTAGCATCACTTTACTTTTAGTTAAATAGCCTAAAAAAAAAGAAAGAAAAAAAGAAGAAGAAGGAAACACACCATGCTGGTTTCGTCTGGCCTGAGGAGAACTGGCCCCCCGACTGAGCCTGGTTTCTCCCAAGGTTTTTTCTCCCTTTCTGTCATCGATGGAGTTTTGGTTCCTTGCCGCTGTCACCTTTGGCTTGCTTAGTTGGGGACGCTTGACTGATTGCACAGACACTAGTGGAAGAGAGCTGAACTGGATGATGACATCACTGAATCATCAATGCACTGACTTTAACTGCAAAAATTACTCTGTTATTGTCTTCTTCCATTATTGACAATCTATTTTCCTGTTTAACACTGTAAAGCTGCTTTGACATAACCATTATTGTATAAAGTGCTATACAAATAAAGGTGACTTGACACACACACACAAACAAAGAAAATAGCCTTTGCCAACAAAGCTGGTAATTAGCATAGTGTGAAACAGACACTTTTTTATATAAATAATTTGATATGATATAATTTAAATGATTAGGTATACATTTAAAAAGTAATGTATGCAAGTGTTTTTGTAACTTAGCACTTAATGTATCTAAGGGCTTTTTCACTGTTGTTTCACTGCATTGCAGACATGCAGTCCAGTGGATTGTGGTGCCCCCATTGGTGCTTGTGTGTATTGCAAATGTAATCCATAATACTACAAGGGGAAATGTGCATGTGGATGCTGCTGCAGTTGATTACTAACTATTTTTAATTATGAGTAGCTTGTAGCTTGGCAGGCTACAGATTTAAAATAGCTACCCCCAACATTTATCAGCAAGATTCACATTCAGTTATTTTAGTTTGTCTTTCCAGAGAAGAGCACTATGACCTTGACTTGTCAGATTGAAAGCTTGTGAGATCTGGAAAGTGGCATAAGTCCTGAATCTCTGAATTTGCTTTAATGCATGTGTGTAAGGGGGTTGGAGATGGGCAACATAGAAAATCGAAAGATAAACATGCAGGTAGTTGACCTAGGGAGCTGCCACTGTGCAAGTGGCTGAGTTGCCTTTAAATTTGTGCAGGGACGTTGTAGTGAGAGGTATAATACACCTGCCAGTCCCAGTAAAGTTTGGGCCTCTGATAGGAACATTCTGTTCTCCATTTAAACGCAAAGTGCCATCAGAGTGGAACAGAGTCTGAAAATGCTTCCATTCTGCTCTGAGTATTTCAGAAGACCTCTCCAGAGAGAGAGAGATATAAGTCTAGCATATGGAGAGAGCATTATAAAAGCTCAGAGAGAGCGTGAAAGAATGCGAGAGAGAAAGGACACCGAAAAAGAAAAACACATCTAACTTCCATCTCTCAGAGAGGGGTCTCAATGGAAGGCAAATTGATTGCCTCATCTAGCTGGAAAAAAAGTAGTTCTCTGAAAAACTTTTTTCCTAAGACTCCATTGACAAATGAGCTATTGATTAGTTGTTTACAATTTAGAGAGCAATGCCTAGATGTTACATGGCAGACCTAATGATGGTTCACCCAATAACAGATAACCACGCCCACACTCACTCCCTTGTTTGAGCCAATGTTGCTGTTTTGCTTTGGTCAAGATGCTTATCCAAAAACAGCTACATTTTGATAGAGCTAGTGTCAGAAGGTAGGTAAGTACTTTATTGATCCCACATGGCAAATTGAAGTGTGTTAGTAGCAATACATAAAGACAGTAAAAGTACTCACAGTTCACACAAAAACACATACTAATAAATAAACAGACACAATAGAATAAGTACAATTGTAGTCAAACAATAAAAAACTGTAATTATAGCAGAATTTATGTCTGATAATTAACTGCATTAAGTACAGCTATGAGATTAGTGGAAGGACCTATTTTCTAGGGTGAAAAGTTAATGATACCTCGGCACAAAATACATGAATTGTAAAGTCTCACAGCAGTATGCATAAATTACCTCCTGTAGTATTCTCAAGGCAAGATGTTTTCAAGAGCACCGGCATTCTTTCCAGGCTGAGACTCAAGTTGAACAGACGCTGGAGCACTCCACTCAGCTGGTCAGCACAGGCTCTCAGGACTCTGGGACAAATGCCATCAGGTCCTGCTGCCTTACCCTGGTGAAGTTTCTTAAGCTCCCTCTTAACCTGGTCGTCTTCAATGGTCAGTGTGGTCTGTGGGTTATCAGCAGTGGAGAGTGTCAGAGAGGGTAGCTGTTGAAAGTGAGAAGGATTGTTGAGAATGGTCTCTATCGGTACAGTGGAGTAATTGTGGGGGGATGGGCAGGAGAGCAGCAGGAGGCCCTATATCAAACCTGTTGAAAAACTGGTTCAACTCGTTAGCCATCCCTAGGTTCCCCTCCGTTGCCATCCCTGGCTGTTTAAAGCCAGTAATTTATCTCATACCGCTCCAGATGCCTCTCACCCTATTATGTTGGAGCTTGTCCTCCAGTTTCCTCCTGTAGGCATCCTTCAACCTCCATTTGAGCTGCTTTTAAACACGTTGCGGTCACTGGTGATCCAGGGTTCGCTATTGGAGAAACAACATACTTTACTGGTGGGAATGGTGTTACCAACACAAAAATTGACGTAATCAGTAATACAGACCACCATACTGTCAATGGCATCCCCATGTGGCTCACAAAGTACATCCCAATCTGTAATGTCCAGTGCACTACGCAGATCCAGTCAAACCCCTCCTTAGTCCATCTCCTCACTATCCTTGCTGAACAACAGGCTTATAATGCTGTGGTCTGATATGCCAAGTGGGGGGAGGGCAGTGGAATTATAAGCCTTTTAAACATTGGCATATAGTAAGTCTAGTGTTCTGTAATCTCTTGTTGAACACTTCACAAATTGATGGTTGGTTGACAGTGTTAATGAGAGAGAAACATGGTTACAATCTCCTGAAATTACTTATGAAGGCATTAGGCTGATTTGTTTGGAGTTTGGCCGTAACAGCGTGTATGACATCACGTGCCGCCTCCGCATTTGCAGTCAGTGGAATGTAAACAGCAACACAGATTGTGCTTGTAAACTCTAGCCAAAGATAAAAGGGACGAATACCGATGGCCATCAGCTCAATGTCCGGACTACAGAAACATTCCTTAACATGAATATGCCCCGGATTACACCATCTGTTGTTAATTAGAACCGCGAGTCCTCCTCCTTTACTCTTACCGCTCGCGGTAGTGTCTCTGTCAGCTCTCACTGTATGAAAACCACTGTGATGTTAGAGTCCAGAATATGTTCATGCAGCCTCATCTCAGTAAAGCACATGATACTGCATTCCCTGTACTTCCTCTGATTTCTCACCAGCACTGCCAATTCATCTGTCTTATTTGCAAGAGACCTTACATTCCCCATTATTACAGAAGGAAGATATGGTCTAAATCTCCGTCTCTTCGCCTTCTGTAATGTACCCACTCTACAGCCATGTCTCCTCCTCTTTTTAAAGGATGCAGTTGTTCCAGAGAATTTTTTTCATTACAATAAATTGCCTGGCTGCAATTATTGTTTCCATGATCACTTGTACACAAACATTCCTCTGTTTACCACTAGCTTTCCGAGGCTAGTAATAGCACAATGATAACTGTGTCAGGCAAACAGTGCTGATGTTTGCAAATCCAGCATTATATATAGCAGGACTCAGCAATAAGGACTACGTGATGACACTGGGCATAGAAGTTTATTACTTGAGTTTTCAAGCCTTGCCTATTTGAAAAAGAGTTTTAAACAATTCAAGTGCAAGACACAAAAGATAACTCAATTTGGTACTTGTGCACTGTCTAAGAGACTAGTTTTTGTACGCGCACACCCCAAGCGCATGCACAGAAAGCTGCCTTTCAAGTCAGAGTGTGAGTACCAAATTAAGTTCTCTGTCGTTTATATTCATATGCATGCGAATGCGAGAGACAGGAAACGCAAGCTCATGAATTTTGCTCTGATCAAACGTTCAAGTTTGGTATACTCTGCTCTGCGAATTTGTGTCCTGTAAAGACATGACCAAGAGAAAACCAAATTAAAAGAACACAAACTTTAATTCTGCAGGATTGTAGCACTACATTAGGGGCCATATTTTAACGATCTAAGCGCATGGTCTA